GTGTGACCGGAAATAAATTAATAGAACTGCTTTTAAAAGAGGATGGAAATGTTATGTCAAAAATAAAGTATTTTTTTATATTTCTTTTTTTGTTGTTTTTAATTGGACACTTGGCGCTAATTTGTATTGACAGAGCATGACAGATATAATTCTAAAGAATGTTTGGAATGTTAGACGTTAGGAATGATCGGAATGCGTAAAATAAGTCGCACTGAAATGCACAGGCGGATTTTAAGAACATTAATATTGAAGTAATTAGGATGAACCGAAAATTCTGAAAATCAATAGAGTTTTAAGTTAGAATCAATTATTCAAGAAAATCAAAACCGTAAGTCAATCATAACTTTCGTTCTAGAGTTATCGTGCCGGCATACATACACACAGACGACCAAATTAGTTTTTTTGCATTTTCAGACTCAGAATGATCGGAAACGTGAAAAAAGCATACAAAAATTGGAGGTAAGTAAATTTTTTTGTCTGCACGAATGCAATACTGAAGCCCTATAGGAAGGGCCTCAGTAATTTAAGAAACAATCCTCAGCGAAACTTACATCAATTGCGTGACAAATTTAAGAAATTTGGAATAGTTTTACACCAGAATTTTGCAAAGGTATTGTCGATACTATGCCTGATAGATTTCAAGCAGTTATTCGGGCAAAAGGAGATGTCTTATTAACTTTTTTTTTTTAATTTGTGTTTCAATATTTAGTTGTCAGCCTTTTCGAATATCAAATACACTGGCGAGAAAAAAATTGAGGCCACCTTAAAATTTTCATGTTCTTTGAAATTTTACGTTTTCAGATCGTATTTGCAAACTGTACATCATTGCATGTGCTTTTGTAAGCTGAATGTAATACTCTATACTAAACAGAAATGCATTTTTTTCTTGGATTTCATGATTTATTCTGAAAAAGCAACAAATTAACATTTTGGGCGAAATTCAACATTTTGTTGTTAGGGAAAATATGGAACGAACAAAATGAAAAAACTTGACACTAATAACGTGTATTCCCTCCTCTTGCATTGATGACTGCTTGAAGTCGGTGCGGCATACTTTGAATTAAGTTGCGGATCACATTCTGGTCGATGTTATCCCATTCCTGCAACAGCAATCTTCTCAGCTCCTGGGCAGTTCTTGGTGCTGGTGTGTCTCTGCGGATCCGTCGTCCCAACTCGTCCCAGACATGTTCTATGGGACTCATGTCTGGGCTGCGGGCTGGCCAGTCAAACAGCCTAATTTCTACCTCATCCAGATACTCCCTGACAATTCTGGTTGTATGTGGTCTCGCATTATCTTGCATAAAAATGCCACTTTCTCCCATAGTCACCATGAAAGGCATAACATGGTCTTCTAGCACCTCCGTAATGTACCTGTGAGAGGTTAGGGAGCCATTTTCTATGAAGACCAACTCTGTACGAGCTTGTGCAGTGATTCCCGCCCAAATCATAACTGACCCACTGCCTTAGAATAAAGAGACCGAAGATGTAACATTGCACAGTGCGCATGTTGTCTATTTTAGCTCAAAGTAACCCACCAATTGAAAATCATTGCACGACGCCACCCAAATTGCTCCGATTTTTCCATTCAACACTCACCTCCGCCTGAGTTCAATCGCCATTGACAGCTCTTTTTTGATTTATTTGTTGGTATTTTAGCATTTTAAAGTGTTTTAGTTATTCAATTTCAAGTTCAAAATGCCACGATGTATCTTGAAAAATTCTATATACCTATTTATAATACAAGAACCAATGTTATGAAAGACAAAAAATATATTTGTTTTCAGCTGTAAATATTTATTAACGTTTTGACACAAAGCGCCATGATTCTTTGGGCTGAATACTTCAGATCCGCATTAAGGGGTTTCAATAAATATTAAGCATCATATTTCAGAAATCAGATTTCATATTACTTACATAAATTTGCAAAAGGGTAAAATTTTGAACATTTAATTTAAGTAAGAAGTAAATAGGCATTGTTTCTAACGAAATTTTGTATTTAAAAAGTAGTTTTATAAGAATGTTTACTAAACGTGGTTTTTAGCCCTTTTTGGTAGATAAATAAGAAGAAGCATAGTTGCTAGCTAAATTTTATTGTTATAGGGTATTTTTATAAGAATATTGGAGGAAATACAAGATGACCTACTTAAAATTTCAAGGTTCATCTTATTTGCGGTCAAATCGGAAGTGACATTTGAATATTCAGTCTTAAAACAAAGTAAAACGCACCATATGATCTAGTATAAGCAAAAAAAATACTAAAGTTACGGGAGTTAGTCACATTGTTAATAAAATGTTACATTATAAACCCCTAAACAACTCGAACAACATTTTCGTTTACTAAAAAATTCAAATTTTAGCAATATTTATTATACAATCGAATGCGGTTTCAAAGATAACGGGATCAAAAAACCCGAATCTCTAAATTTTGGAGCAAAATGCTCGGATAAAAGCAAGCGACCGATTTATCCGTTATGTTTAATAAATTATTTTCGTTTTTTTAAAATAATGTTATAATTTTAAAGGAAATACAAAAAAAAGTAGATTTATTCAAAATAATCGATTGATTGAAAAATAAATCGATTTATCGTTTAATCGGTTTTTTTAATTAATCGATTATTTTCGATTTTTCAAAGGTATTATATGAAAATAATCGATTGATCGAATATAATCGGTTATTTTAAGTAACCAATATTTCGGTTATTTCTTTAAAATTTTCGATTTATCTGTTAATCAGCTTTTTAATAATCGATTATTTTCGATTTATCGATTATTTCCAATAATCGAATAATAAATTTTAAAAGAAATATGAAAAAAAAAGGGTATTAGAAAATAATCGATAATTCGGTTATTTATTGGAAAATCGATTTAGCGTATAATCGGCTTCTTAATTAATTGATTATTTTCGATTAGGCGATATTTGGAATTATCGATTATTTTCGGTATTTCAAAGATAATCGATTTTAAAGGAGATACAATAAAAATATATTATTGATAATAATCGTTTGATGGAAAATAATCGATTATTTAAAATATTCAATAATTCTGTTTTTTTTTTTGACAATCGATTTATCAGTTAATCGACTTTTTAATTAATCGATTATTTTTGAATAATCTGTTTCAATGGACGAAAAAAATGGATTATTTGAAAATAATCGATTATTTAAAATAAACGATAATTCTTTTATTATTTTTTGTAAACACTGATTTATCGGTTGATTGGCTTTTTAATTAATCGAATATTTTTGATTTTTAGAAGATAATCAATTAGTCGATTTTAAAGGAAATACGACAAAAAAAAGATTGTCTGAAAATAATCGACTGATCGAAAATAATCGATTATTTTCAATGACCGATAATTTATTTCGATAATCACCCACGCTTAGCGACCAAATGACTTTTAATGCATTTCTAGAGTTTTATGTGACTCATCCTCTATATTAATTAATATTCCTAAAGGAAGAAGCTTTAATGTACGGTTTTCTGAGGTTACAATACAAAACAGCATTTTCTCATTTTAACTAATTTTTAATATTATGTAATAGTCGTAGAAAAAATATAATGTTCAACTCACAAGGTCTGATTTGCAGTATTCGCCTTCGCACATGCTTTTTTTATAATATTCGTAGACAATGAGTATCATTTCTTGCTCTATCAACAATATTCTATTTCAACATTTTACTGTAATCCCTTGCAGAAAAGTCCGTAGTAAATAAACGCTAACGAAATATTCTATAAAAGGTCTTCTCTTTACATAAAATGTCGTGGCATCTGTTTGATATTAAAAAATCAAGTTAATTTTATTTCATGATACAAAATTCCATTAAACATCTTTTAAATAAATCTAATAGTTCATTATGATGCTAATAAACAAAGTCCGGTCCCTGTCACAGAATTCGCGTCGCCGCCCAGTTCCCCCCCTCCGTTAACCTTTCTTTAAAAATTGGCAACATTTGCGCAGGTTAAACACCGGTGTATGTTATATCTCTGGTCTCTTTTATCTAAGCCCACTGCCAAATAGAAGACGCTCGTCAATGCAAATTTCAGCATATCTTTCCCCAGGTCTTCTCCACACTCGTCGACGTCCATCTGACCCAGTGAGGCAAAAACGCGACTCATCTGAGAACAATACTCAGCTGTAGTCATCATCATTCCAACGAACGTGATCTCTGGCAAATGTCAATCTTGCAGTCCGATGCTGGCGTTGCAACGGGGGACCTGTAGCCATTCTTCTGCATGACAGTCCAGCAGCATGAAGTCTTCTTCTAACGGTCCATTCACTAACGTTGACATTTCTCACTTCTTCCAACTGATTTCGCAGTGAATCCGCAGTAACTGTCCTTTTCCGCAAACTTGTGGACACCAAAAAACGGTCATCTCGTTGAGTGGTAACTCTTTTTCGCCCATACCCTGGTCTTCTAGTGATTAGGCGTCTCCAGAAAGCGCTGGTACACCCTTTGCACACCAAAAAGACTAGCACCAACAATTCTTGCAGTTTCACGTTGCCCCCGACCATCTTGTAACAGCGCAACAATTCTTGCCACAACAATCGGATCTAAAGGCATTATGGGCCTGTTAAATCACTACACTTTGCAATCGTTAGGTTTTACACAAAGAATCAACAGTAAACTGGAAAACAGGCAAGGGAAATGTGAATGTTCAATTAGCGTAAAGGCAAATTTTTCATAAAAGTCGAACAAAAATGGAATGACACCTTATCAATATTGACGCTAAAATTATTCGCAATTTCTGAAGTGACCTCAATTTTTTGCTCGCCAATGTATTTAAATTAATTGCAATAAATAAAAAAAAAAAAAATAAATAAATAAATCTGTTCTTTCTAGTATGTCAGATGACACTGAAAATATTACTAATTTACTACTAATTTACGACTTATGCCAAAAAGAATTATAAATTTATATTAAAACAATTTCAACTTTAACTACTTGCTTGTTCCAACACATAGTTAGGGCTCGTATAATATTCCCATCTTCGATTTTAAACGGGCGGCTGTCAGACTATCGTATTTTTGTTTATTGGCGACTACTCTACTTGAATGCCGCTAGATGCCATTACTACCACCCAGATACATACTGCAGAAGCCGCCACTGGTGATGACATGTTATAAATAAAAGCTAAATTGTACAATCGCCATTATTGATTTAATAAAAATTAAACTTTGCAGTCCGCCATTAAGCACAAGAATGTCCTATTAAGAAACTCACCGTTATATTGACTAGCTGGCTGTGAATTTAATCCATTAACCTCTTACAAAGGCGTTTCTTTTCGCCAATGGAAACTGTTCGTTTTCGAAGCCGGATTAGCACCCGACGCGGATTTGCGAAGATTTGCGGCCGCCGTATCCAGTCCGTTTTTAACGTTGGCGACGAGGCGCAACGCTGGATTCGTCACGATGCCGTTCCTCTTCTGTTTTTGATTGCTAGCAACAAAATAAAATTTCAATAATGCATTTTGTTCGATCGTCTCCTGCATTTTCTTTACCTTGATTTTAAATTGGTAGATTCCTGTACGGAGTCATGTTTCTTGTCCTTGGTAAAGGGGGAGCCACTGGTGTTACCCAAAATGATCCTCATGTGCGTGTCGCGTGCAAAATGAGTATCGGGCGCTTTTGCGAAGTTATTATGCCTCAAAACTGGTTGGTATATGTTCATGGCGCCCAAAAACGAATCTGAAAACCAAAAACGTAAAATTATATCGGCCTCCAAGGTCGCCAGACTTGATTCCAATGGAAACAGAGGGTCTTTCGAAGATATAAACTTACCGAAAACGTTGGGGGCATCATTCACTGGACTTAAGGGTGGTGAAGCGTAAATAGGACTCTGTGGTTCGCTCTGTAATGGTGACAACAATTTGCTTAAAGGCCGCGTTTTACCGCCTCTTGTACATTGTTGAAGTTGCTGCGTAAAAGACATGGGCTGTAAAAAATACGCAATGTTTAATTATATGTAGTGGATACTTTGCTATAGTTTTATGTAGTATCCGACACATGACTATCTTTTAAAATTATCAAGTATATTGAGTACGACCCATCTAATCAAGTATTTATATCATTGAGATAAAATAAAGAGGATATGCTATGACGATGCTAAAGTGTCCGCACCTTTGCATTATACTTATACGTCATATGTCAAACTCGACAGAGCTGTGCGGTATTCAAGTACAAGTACTCGATAGCTGTACTCTAAGTACATTTAGTGTACTTGGTACTCAGTCTAGAGTACATTAGGATCCTATGTATTTGTACTTGTACTTTCACTGTATTGAGAACGTTTGTACTCAAGTACATTTTAGAGTACTGTAAGTACTTTTGAATATACTTAAGTACTTCAGACAAATAAGTACTTTAAGTATTTTTGAATGTACTTAAGTACTTTTGAATGTACTTAAGTACTTTTGAATGTACTTAAGTACTTTTGAATGTACTTAAGTACTTCACACAAATACAACTATTGTGCAGTTCATATTTGTTTAGACTTGTCTCAATCTCACGTCTGTCTGTTCCAAATGCCACGTGCAATGTTTGATTCGATTTGTCCGTAGCCGGAGACGGTGGTGTTTTAAAAGTGCCGATCAGCCGAAGTTAAGTTAGTGAACTTTATCGTATAAATTATTCAATCTTTGTCGTGTAAATTTATGAAACTCAATTATTTGTAAAGTAAGTGATTACGTATTTAGGTACTTTGTGTCTAAAAAATACCTCTATCTACAGAAGGCTGTAAAGGTTTTAATCATTATATTATACACAGATTGGTTTGGGTTTATGCAGAAAAATAATCTGTTTTAGTCTAACTTTGTAGGTTAGGTATTAGCAGTATTTTTATCTTTGGAACTCAAACACTGTTAAACATATAAGAAATGTTGATTTTTGAAGGGAGGAATAAATCTAAATAAAATAAAACTAAAAAGCAATATACCGAGTGGTCCATTTGACTTGAGACAGATTGATACCTCAAAACTGATGCGTTAAAAAAAGTTCGAATAAAAGTTGTTTGGTTTTCTGGGGGACAGAAAATTATGAATCTTTTCAAGGTTATTAAAAGGTCAACTTTGTTTTTTTAAATATATACGCATCTTTTTACTTTCTCGCCGTATACTTGAAAGTATAGGGAAAGTATTGTGATCGTGTAAAATTTCGTTTTTGAGAAAATGACTTTTTTACACTTTTTGTGGTCTCCAGATACTAAAAGCCATGTTTAAAAAAATGTCTGTATGTACGTGTGCGTATGTGGCCAATATTTTCGCACGCATAGCAGGAGAACCGTTTAACCAAGTTTAACCAAAAACTTGGTATAAATATAGCTTTGATGAAGATCTTGAGTCGATTACTTTTTGGAGGTTGAGGGCTTAGGGCATCCCACCTCTTTAGGGTAACAAATATAAAAAAAAACATAAAAAGATAACCGCTTGACTATATTAAATCAAACTTGCAGTGCCGGACTGGTCCGGTGAGATAGTGAGATAGGTACACAAACTCGAAAATTTATTTTTATTTCACAGTATTAAGTATCTATTACGTAACAATCTTTGATCTTATTTTACTAAAGTTGTTTACAAAAAATAAATAATACAAGCATACAAGTCTGTTTTTTTTTCAAACAAATGAACGTGATCCGCACAACTCGCCAAAACTTGTTAAAATTAAATTGACGGAATATTTTATTTTTTAAACTTTGAAACAGTTTCAAATAAAAGTTACTTAAAATAATCAACTCTACAAAATGCAGTACTTTGCTTTTTTGCTTACTCTTGACCTTCAGGGTAATTTGAAGGTCAACTTTATGTTTTTAAATGGAAAACCCTATATATTTTTGCACTTTAGAATTCTCTGAAAAATATAAACAAGTGTTATTGAAGATACTTTTTTCTATACTGAGCCATTTTCGGGATATTGACAGTTGAAATTTGACATTTTTCAACATTGAAAGGCTGTAAAATCTAAACGGTTGAACTTAGGGCGAAACGGTGTGCATGCCTTTGTTAGTTTTTTTTGTTAACTTTCCTATGAGAGCAATTTCAAGTTCAAAAATGTCAAATTGAGTTGGAACTTTTACATTATCTTGAGGATAAGAGAACCGATCTGTCCATGCTGGATGACTACCCAACAATAAAAAAAGTTTTATACGGTATGTTATGTTGATAATGGGGTGTTAATACACTGCGACCTAAAAGATCTATTGTGCCCCCTTCTGTCGCCACTGCACTAAGGAAATGTCTCAATGCCTATAGCGACCCTTCCAATCCTATTTTCTCAAGGAAGTGTAGGATTTGAAGTGGCTTCAAGTTAGGTAAGTCTCCCTCTTCTATTTGATATCCTCCTAGATATAGTGCCCTTGGATTCTGGAGTGCTACACATTCAGTTAGGATGTGAATGGAGGTTTCGTCCTCCTCCTCACAGAATCTGCACTCACTATCCTCTACTACTCTCAGTTTACTTAGGTGTCCTTTTAGTCGGCAGTGCCCGGTAAGGATCCCTGTTACAATACGTAGCCTGTTCTTGCTCAGGCAGATGCAGGCTTCCGATCTTTTTTGGTTATATTCACCCAGAAGTATCTTGGCCTGTCTCAGCCCCAAGAGATTGTTCCAATTATCATTATACGGTATAATACATGTTTACCATCTTCTGCTGCAGTGGAGCGACTTTTTTTATTTGCAACAATGTTAAACGACCCTCGTCGCCATGTTCTTAGTGATGCAAATTTTGAAAAATTTGTAATATTAAAGGCAAATAAAATTGGTTCCTAGAAAGGTATAGATTTTATTGTTTTATTGTGGTCGTATCCAGAGTTAATCAACTAAACACAACACAACATTTTCTGTAGTACTTAGTATTTAGTTGCCCGACTGTGGATATCTAATATATTTAAACCTATACTAGTATATATAGTATACAAAAGCCATAAGATTATACAATAAAAAATTAATTATTAATGTACTTGGTACTCTGTACTTACAAAAGTACTCGAGTACTCATTAAGTGTGCTTTTCTACGTTATGTACTTGGTACTCGAGTACTTTTTGGGAAAAGTATTTGTACTCTGTACTTAAGTACTTTTTTCTTGTACTTGGAACAGCTCTGAAACTCGAGATACTGAAGTTAGTCAGTTTTGGTGGGAATAAATCCCTTTTTTTTAAATAGCTTTAAATGGTATAAAATCATTTTCATTCCGTTAAGTGAAAACTTTTATAGATACGTTAGGCATGGACAACATTTTTTTTTACATTTTTTTATTGGCATTTTTTACATTTTTGTGTACAAAAAGAAAACTTCTATGGGCAGGTTAAGCGTTTTTCGGATGGGTAAAATGTTATGCTAATGTTAATAGCATATCTATAGCTCTATAAGTATGACATGCGCTTGGCGAGCTGTAGAAGTATATTGAGTGTATGGAATAAATTTTTTACAAATTTTTTTGACAATTTTTTTGAACAATTTTTTTTTAAATTTTCTTCTTTACAAATTTTTTGAAGTGAGCACTTCTATAGACACGTTAGGCGTTTTTCGGATGGACACAATCTTCCCAGCTCGCGACACCACATGCTAATGTTAATATTATATCTATAGCTATAAATATAACATGTACTTGGCGAGCAGTGGAAGTATATTGAGAGTATGGACAACCTTTTTTTTGGATAATTTTTTTTACAATTTTTTAAACAATTTTTTTAAACAATTTTTTTTTGACCATGTTTTTGATAAATTTTTTTTTGACCATAATTTTTAATTAAAAATAAAACGATTAAACCTTCAAAAATAACAACTCACAAAAATGACTTTTTACATATTTAGTAGTTCAAATGTATCTTCAGCCATTTAGTCTTTATCTTTATTGGTTGTAAACAGGTAGGGTTAGGTTTGGCCCAGAACACTGCGGCCTCTTGGGTCTATTGTATTTCCCTGCTTTCCCCGTATTCAGGTACTATCTTTGGAATAGTCCTGTGTATTTGGTTAGTTTTAATAGATTCCCTACCAAGTGTTCCTAGGGCGTTCTTTCCGGTTCTAGGCCGAAAAGGATAAAACGTCGCCCAGTAAGAGCTTCGCATTTGAAGATCACATGGTATGAGGTTTCTTCCTCTTCCATGCAGAGCCTACACGTAGTGGGATCATTGTGTAATCCCATCACATGAAGGTGTGTCAGCAAGCAGTGCCCCGTTCGTAATCCCACAATGGTGGATATCTGAGGCCTTGCTAGTTGTAGTGCCTCAGTAGCCATGCATGGGTTTGGTCCCCTTAGCATGAGCTTACTGATTCTGTACCCTCTTATCTGTTGCCAGTGAATTTGGTGTTTTGTGGTTATCCACCTGTTCACTGCCTGTAGAGCAGAGGTTTTGCTTATCCCAAATACAGGTTCGGGTCTTGTGAATGGTAGATCTGATCCCTCTTTGGCCAGTTCATCAGCCTTTTCATTTCCTTGGATACCTTTGTGCCCTGGTACCCATGCTAGTTTTACCTTGTTGTGGGTTGTCAGATCATTTAGTATTCCAAGGCAGTTCCAGACAAGCTTTGACTTGAGTTTGTTTGAATCAAGAGCCTTTAAGGCTGCTTGGCTATCTGAGAGAATTAGGATGGTTTGTTTCTTGTTTTTCTGCCTGAAATACAGTGGCATGTTTTCCCAGTGAGACGTTGATGTCGCATTTGGGTTAAACTCCATGTACGCCAGAGCCTGTTCCCTTGTTAGTTTTATATCTATCCGTATACCATACGAGACCGCTAAGCAAGTATTTATCTATCTCCTTATTTACCTCGTTCCAGTTACAGTTGACCTGGAAGAGTCTGTTAAAGGTTAGGAGGGGTGTAATGTGATCTGATCCCATATTTAATATAGAATCATTTACTTCATGTGTTATTCTGGTATATCTTATATGTCCCAGTGGGTTCCAGTTGTTGAAGATTTCCAGTCTGTATGCACTCATTCTGGCCTCCCCTTTTATGACTAGGTCAAGGGGTGGGAGGTTTAGAATGATTTTCATAGAGGCTGTCGGTGTACTTCTCAGTGCTCCTGTAATACAAAGGCATGCCAGCCTCTGTACTCCTGAGAGGGTATTGAGAGCTGTTTTCTGGTTTACTTTTGGCCACCAAACAACCGCTCCATAAGTTATCATGGGTCTTGTTATTGCTAAATATAGCCAGTGAACCATTTTTGGTTTTAATCCCCATGTTTTTCCAAATGCCCGTCTCCCTACTATGAGAGACATTTTACATTTGTTTATCACTTTTTGTAAGTGTTGGTTCCAAGTAAGTTTACTATATAGGATCAGACCCAGATATTTTACTTGGTTCGTTTTGTTTAGCCTTCCTCCAAACAGAGTTGGAGTTTCTAAAACCTCCAACCTTGTTTTCCGAGTAAAGGTTATGAGTTGTGCCTTGTCAGGGTTTACCAAGAGGGTTTCCCTAACGCACCACATTTTTGACAGCCTAAGAGCTCTTTGCATGAGTTCAAAGACTGTGGTTTGGTGTTTCCCTCGGATAAGGATGACTATGTCATCGGCATATCCTTGGGCATACAGCCCTTGATTATTTAGTGTTTTCAGCAGTTCTTTTGCCAGTAGGTTCCACAATAGAGGAGAAAGGACTCCACACTGAGGGCATCCCCTGTGGATATTCACCTGCATGGTTTCACTGAACATTTGTGCCTGTACTTGCCGTCCGCATATGTCATAATCCACCAGTAGATGGTGTCTTCTATTCCATGTTTGCGAGCGGCAGCTACCATTGATTTAAAGGAGGTATTATCAAAAGCTCCTTCTATGTCAAGAAATGCTCTTAGGACTATTTCTTGGCTACTGAGTCCTCCCTCTACCTTGGTTACAAGAATGATGCAGAGCATACTCACAAGATTTTCCTGATTGATAGGCATGTTGGTTTGTATGAAATGGCCTCTATCAGAGTGGTTTGCCGGACATGCTGATCAATCAGTTTTTCCAATTCTTTCAATAGAAATGACGTCAGAGTTATTGGTCTATAGGCCTTTGCCACAGCATACGTTGGACGCCCCGGTTTAGGTATAAAGACAACTCTACTTTGTTTCCAGGTATTTGGTACATGTTTATGCACCAAACTTGCCCTGTAGAGTCTACAAATATGCAGGGCCAGCATTTCTATTGCCTGTTACAAAAGCGCAGGCAGTACCTCATCTGGTCCCGGTGATTTGTATGGATTGAAGATACGTATTGCTCATGTTACTTTCTCTGTTGTAATTACCCGTTTAGCAGTTTCCCACTCTTGACTGGAGACTCTTTTTTGAGAGTTCCAGTTCGTGTGGGTTTGGTTTGAGATAATAACTTTATATTATAGTGTTTATAGAGTAATATACAAATTTCAAATAAAAACAAATTACAAAAAAATAATTAGTTTTAACTAAAAAAATATAATAATAATAATAAAGGTCTTTATTTTCCTTTCAAGTTACATAACTATTTACAAACATTATGAAAAAAAAAAGCAATCGTAACAAAGCAAGAAAGGAAAAATGCCGAAGATCAGGTGACGATAATTTCAATGAAATCATCGCCTCTGTTTTTCATCTTAAGCAGTAGTAACAATGACTAAAATTAACTTAATTTCTAATTACTAAAAAAAAAAAAAAAACAAATAAAACAATTTCAATTAGCAATATCAGAAACATTAGAAAATAATATGAAGGAATATTTATTTTTTAGAATATTACCAAATATTACCAACTATTACCAAATAACGCGATAGACGATTAGTGACTTTTTAAAGAGGAATTTTCCATGATTAAAGATGAGTTACTACTCGTTTAAAAATGTATGTTTAAGTGATTTTTTGAATGCGGGTGTAGATTTTAATTTTAATTCATTAGGTAAAGCGTTATATATTTTTGATATTTGGTATGTAAAGGAGCGTTTATATTTTTCTGTGCGGTGAGGGGGAGCTGTTATTCTGTGCCTATATCGAGTATTTAGGAAATGCGTATCAGAACCGTATTTAACTTTATTATATAAATAAACAGGTAAGCGGTTTTTAATGACTTTATGGAATAGACAAGCAGCGTGAAGTAACCTTCGTTTTTCCATATTTAGCCAATTCAAAGTTTTTAATTTATGGGATATAGGTTGTCGTCTTCTAATTCCACAAATTAGACGAATACATGAGTTTTGCATGACCTGAATTCTCCTTTTGTCATCTGACCCAATACAGGGACCATAAAGGACATCTCCATAGTTGAATTTTGATAGAACCAACGAGTCACATAGAATTTTTTTAACATTAAATGACAGGTAATGACGATTAATGTAGATTGTTTTTAAGTTAATGAAGGCATTACGAATACATATATTAATATGACTGCTAAATTTGAGCTGATTGTCCATGACTATACCAAGGTTTTTGGCGCTGTTTACGGGTTTTATTATATCACCCTCAAAATTTAATTTAATTGAGTCAGAACAAAATTTATTAGGGCCAAAGACAAGAACATTCGTTTTTTTCGAATTAATGCTAAGAGCATGTATTTTTGCCCACATAGCTAAGTTTTTGAGATCTTGGTTGATAAGGTCAGTGGAATGTAAAATATTGTTTTGGATGAAAAGGGCTATAAATTTGTGTATCGTCGGCATATAGGTGAGCCTTGCAAGATTTTAAGACTGTTCCGATATTTTTTGTATAGAGAGTAAATAGTATATGCAATGTTTGGAAATATTAAAACATAATCCCCTATTCCACCTATGAAATTAAGAAATGTAACCTTACATCCCCAAAGTGAAAACAAGCAAACAAAAAAAAATTAAAAGCTAAGAAATAAGAGACAAAATAAGGATCGAACCTGGAACCTGTGCGCTTCTAGCAAATTGATTCCAAATATATACAAAGTTGATACTTTTTTTTTAACTGTCGTTAAAATAAACATTTTTTCAAATAACTTTTTTTTTAAAAACTCAAAAATAAGGAAGATAAATAATTAAAAAATTTAAATCTGTTTCAAAAAATAAGTTAAATGAGAAGTCTGTTTACGTTTTCATATATTGTTATATTTTCTTAGGTTTTTTTTATGTATGAATTATGCACTAGCTGTTATTGTAATTCAGCCATTTGGATGATTTTAATAGTGTCATTTCAATAGATTTACCTCACGAGAGTCCTAGAATTTTTAATAATCTAACTCAACGGATACGGATAATTTGCGTTAACATCATGAGGAACATGAAGGCTGACCGATACATTTTGGAATAAATAATTATTTAAGTTCCTTATTTTTTATTTTTTTTTAAATGGTTATTTGAAAAAGTTTATTTTAATAGCTTCTATACAAGTATCAACTTAGGATTTACCCTGTATATAAATATGTAAAATATGAATTTGACAATTTAAAAATGAATATTGGCAATTACCTGAGTATTTTGTACAATTTCTCTAGGCCTATCTCCGTGCCTACTGGACTGACTCGATCCAGTGAGGTTAGAACTAGACTTGGAATTCGAACTATGGTTCCCCAGGGAAACCATCGATCTTCTTTGCTGATCCGACCAATCAGCCGTGCCTCCAGAAGGATACAAAATGGCGCACGAGGGCTTAGTCTCTGCAGTGGAAGCTAAAAAAAAAAATAATTTTTATTCATATTTATAGGAGAAATTTATAATTATTTAGGAGAAGGGCCAATATAATTATAATCCCTTCTAAATTGTAAATTACCTGAGGTAATGGAGTTGGCGCTACTACTAGTATGCGCCACTTTATGCGATCTTGCATTGTATTCTTCTAACAGTCTTACTACTCCCCTATGTCCAGATTTGGCGGCAACCCTTAACGCATTCCGACCGCAAGCGTCCGAATGACTAGGATCAGCTCCGTGTTCCAACAAAGCCACTACACAAAGTTCGTGACCCTCTTGCGCCGCTATACCTAAAAGACGATGCAAAATAATGCATTTGCGAGAAGAAAATTATGAATTAGGATACTAAGGGCCAGTTTTTCAATAACAGTTTTAACTTTCGTTCACCTGAACTTTAATCAAATAAAGAACCGAGATTAACATCAATAGTGTTTTTCAATCATGTCAGTATCACAGTTCAGGTGATCTAAGTTTAATGTATATTAGGCATTCCAAGCAAAATGGCTGATCGTTTGAAATGACAGGCCACCGACAGACACATGACATGTTATAATATGGCAACCTGTGAGCCTGGTGGTTTGATAGGCTCAATGCTATAGACAGTTATATAGATTGATCATCCACATAAGCTTATGCCTTGAAGTAAAAATGTAAGCAATTTTTTTTTAATATCCAAAGGCTGAAAATCGGTTTTAAAACACATTTTTGCTAACTGATTCAAATTAATAAATATTTGCCAGGCAATATGGCCGCTCGCAAACGACCAGCTTTGATCAATCTATATAACTATACAGTGAGCATCTTAAGTCTTACCCCCCCTAACTAACTCGTTACTGGGGTCTTGTTAGGAAAATCGCCGAGACAGGTCGATTTTTAATTTCTACAATGTACATTTTTGCATGATTAGTTAACCCTTAATTTCATCCCTTACTGGAGGGTAAAAACCCTTTCGAAAAATTTAAATGGCACGGGGTGGTGAGTGATAGCTCATTTGAAAGGGGGTTTTATTCTCTATTCAACCGTGCAAAAAAATTTTGAAATTTGCATCATTACATGTTGATTTATTAATGTTTAAAAATAACAAAACCTCACAAAATAGGAAAGCAACTAAACTAATAGAGTGACCTTCTAATGGCAAAAAGTCTTACTTCACGTCTGAACCAAAACCGAAGTCATGCAGGGCCGAATTTTAATTCTAAGGATGAGTGCGCTACGTTAATTTCCGTTATTCTGAAACAACAATTAGTCGAGAATTTATGAAGCAAATTTCAAATTTTTTTTTACACGGTTGAATAGAGAATAAAACCACCCTCCTTCAAATGAGCTATCACTCACCACCCCATGTCATTTAAATTTTTCGAAAGGGTTGCTCCCCTCCAGTAAGGGATGAAATTAAGGGTAAACTATTCATACAAAAATGTACATTGTAGAAATCAAAAATCGACCTGTCTCGGCGATTTTCCTAACAAGACTCCAGTAACGAGTTAGATAGGGGGGTAAGACTTATGGTGCTCACTGTATATGTATCATTGACCCTGTTAATGACAACAGGGTTGCCATATCTAAACTGTCAGTCCCCCACTGGTAGCCATTTGGACAGATCGTTGGAATGCCTAATTGGTAGTCCTGAATCGAGGGACTTCTGACAAATATGAATGCTCTATGTCAGTTTGACGTTTTTAAAAAACATTCAGTAACAGTAAAGATGAAAAATTGTACGAAATTGTAAAAAGTTGATGGACCATCAAATTTTCTAGCAATGAAGAATTATTGTTGGTAAATATTGCTTGTCGTACTTCTATGTACTCTATAGAAGTAGCCGGTGGTAATTAAGAACGATTATGTTATGTTATTATAAATTTTGTTATCTATAAGTCAGAATTTCATTTAGTAAATGGGCAGTAATGTCACCATCGTCTTCACACATTACTTTGAACAAAAAATATATCCAAAATTGTAAAATATACTTATAATATTATGTCACAATGTCGAAACATTGATCTTAGTTTAAACGCCCAATTTTGACAGTTCAGTTTTTCGGATAGTTTAAATTAAGTACAGGCGTGATCTACATTAAAAATACACCATCTTTTAATTGAACGCGGTTCATTTACTGAACTCAATTTAAACTTTGATTGAAAAACTGGCCCTAAGTAACACAGTAAATAGTAGGAAACTTACCTAAAGCAGTAGCACCCTGATTGCATGTGTGATCGGGTATAGCACCGTGTTCTAAAAGCATCTTAACAATTTCGCTATGCCCTTGCCAGCTAGCCGAATGTAAAGCCGTCCTATTTTCTAAATCGCAAGCGTCTACTTGAGCTTTACCGTACGTCAATAACAGCGACACCATTTCCGTGTGTCCCTGCCACGATGACACGTGCAAAGGCGTACGACCCTAAAAAGTAATCGGTCTATGAAATAGGACTAAGTTCGGTTAATACAGCGGTCATGATTGGAGTTGAATAAATATTATATGGTTAAAATAATATTAAACTAACCTCTAAATCTCTTGTTTCTACGTCTGCACCTTGCTGTAAAAAGTATTTGGACATAGCCAATCTATTATCTAAGGCTAAAACGTACAATGTGCTTCTACCGTCTGCGTCTTTGGAATCTAAATCGGCCCCGTTCGAGGCTAGTATTTGCACAATATCGTAATGGCCTTCTAAAGCAGCCAATCTATAATATATTTAAAAAAAACGAAGTTGAGTATGTAATTGTATAAAATCTTCAGTATTTCTAACCTTAAAGCAGTCTTTCCGTCATGAGGCCTTTGATCTATCGGTGCATTGTATTTATCTATAAATAAATTGACTAAAGCCGTATGTCCGCCTTGTGAGGCTAAGGCCAAAGGGGCTTTGCCTTCATTGTCAGTCTCGTCCACTCTTGCTCCTGCTTCCAATAAAGCTTCACATACATCGAGGTGACCTTACAAAGACAAATTATTAGATTACGGTGTTAAAATTTAGATTGAATATAGACGTTACCCTCAAATGCTGCGTAATGTAACGGGGTCCAGCCCGAATTATCACGATGCTGTTCGTCCAAACCTCTGTCCAGCAGCTGTTTGACTACTTCAACGCAACCTTGAGCTGCGGCAACTGATAATACAGTGCGTCCCTCTGAATCCATCGAGTCTATACAGCAGCCCCAGAATAGCAATAAAGCTACCACTGGTGCATGCCCCATGCTTGCAGCCGCCCAAAGTGGGCTTCTTCCACCGTGGTCACAATGGTCGACGTCAGCTTCGTTTTCCAGAAGCAGCTCGCATACATCCCTACGTAATGATAAAATAGAAGCATGAAGAAGAAATTATAATTATAAAAATTACCTGTGTCCTTCAAATGAAGCAACCAGTAACGGCGTCATCCCCTCCTTGTCCTTATGATCGACGGTAGCCGCCCTCTCCAACAAAGTTGCAACCACGTTAGCTCCTGGTGTTCTAGGCGCACAGAGGGCGGCCACGCTTAGCGCCGTTCGACCATCGGCGTCCGCATGGTTGATATTTGCTCCGAAATTTAACAGATGCTCTACAATTTCCGAATGGCCCATATAAGCCGCCGCTATGAGCGCCGTCCGACCTTCGTGGTCTGTCAAATTAACACTTGCGCCGTGTTGGAGGAGAATTTTGACTATTTCTTCGTGGCCCGACCAAGCAGCCGCTCGTAGGGCTGTGCGATTTTCGGCGTCGACACTGTCGAGGGTGCAGCCATGTTTGACGAGCAGTTCTACCACCTTACAAAAGAGAAATGTCAGTCTACATGCATCAAAGGTAGGGTGAAACAGCGTTTAACTCACTGCGCAAAATGTAGTCACCAGTAATTAGAGTAATATGCAATGATTCTAGAAGGATAGATAAAGATAGGAACAGGGTTCGACCGATATATATCGCCGATATTTATCATGATATATATCACGATATATATCGATATTTATAAGCAATGATATATATCACGGATATTTATAGATTTACTGAAATGTGCGACGCTGCGTAAAAATTTCGTAGTTAATCGTGATTTAAGACCACGAGCACGCCTATGCAACAGCTGAAAACGGGTATTTACATTTACCGACCGTTTGTCCGATCGATGGAGCATAGCATTTTCGGGGGAATCACCAACTTCGTTTTAGAATATCTTTAGATGCTGATTTTAACTTAATCGCCGCGGAATCGTCATTTGTACTTTTTCTTGTGCTTTTAATTAGATTGTGTGATATCGTAGTGATAATAACAGATATTTAAAGAAAGTGCCAAAGAATAAAGATATAGTATGGGCAAAGTTTGACTGTATTACATCGAAAAGTAGTGGCAATTGGGCAAGGTGCAAACTGTGTCAAAAAGAAATGCAAGGTATACTTACACGAATGAAAAAACACTTACAAAGTTGTGCTAAAGAAAGTGCCAAAGACTTTAGGAACATTACTGTACAGATAGCATCAACAAGTAAAGAAGAGGAAGGTAAATTAAAGAAAAATTATGTTTAATAAATTGTAAAATAAATACTATTCCTGGGCGTATTCCTAAAGAAATATGAACTACAGATCGATATTTTTTTTCAGATGATTTCGTTATTTTACAACCTGCAAAGAAACCGGGACAATTTTTACAAAATATAGAGCCGATACCGTCAACAAGTAAAGAAGAAGGTAATTAAAAAATATATACAGGTTTATTCGAGGGTTTATTAGATTTTTTAATCCTCAAATTATTCCTATAGATATGAATTATAGCTCGACATTTTTTTTTTTTAGATAATAGCGACATTCTACCACCTGCCAAGAAACAAAGACAGTTATCTATTTTTAGTAACTTGGACATTATTGCAACATCAAAAGAACATTCAATTAATATTAACAAGCAAATAGCTCGATACTTTTATGCCACAAATACGCCGTTCAACCACGCTGATCACCCAGAGTTTAAAAAAATGTGCTGCATATTACGCCCAGGTTACAAAGGCCCCTCTGCAAAACAAATAGGTGATACTCTTTTGAATACTGTGCACAGAGAAGTTAAAACGGATTGCAGAAATGAAATTGAAAATTCTACAGTGTGTATGTCAATGGATGGTTGGAGCAATATCCACAATGAACCACTTATTTGTTGCAGCATAGTGACTTCAAATGGAGAATATATTTTGATAGATTGTGTAGACACAGACATAGATCGTCATACTGCAGAAAATTTAAGAGATCTTGCTATAAAAGCTATAAAAATTGCTCAAGAAGATTTTCAAGTTACAGTGGGGAGTTTTGTAACGGACAATGCCGCTAACGTACAAAAAATGCGCCTGGATCTTGTTAATGACTTTGATATTATTCAATATGGATGCTCAGCCCATGTGCTAAATTTACTAGCACAGGATCTAAAAATTCCAGAAGCTACAAATGTTATAATTAGAGTAATAAAATATTTTAGAAATAAGCATGTTCCTGCTGCATTATTTAAACAAGCGCAGGGAAAAACAAAAAAACTAGTGATGCTCCAGGAGGTACGATGGAACACAATGAGTGACGCAATCAAATCATATTTAGATAATAGAGGTATACTTGTGCAAATATGCCAAGACAATAAAGATGATATTGAAATTATTAAAATTGTAAACGTAAACGATAGCCATGTCGCAAAGAACGCTGTTGATCTTGTAGCCCGCTTAACACCAATTGCAGTGGCCCTTGATCGAATGCAAAGAGCAATAACAACTATTTCCGTAGCTGTTGAAATTTGGAATAAATTAGAAAAAGATTCACAAGATCAACCACTTGAGGTTAAAAAACATTTTCACAAGCGCAGAAATATGGCGTTAGGAGGTGCTCATTTTGCAGCAAATATGTTGGATCATAGATTTCTTGGACAACGATTAAACAACGAGCAGAAAGAAGAAGCATATGCATTTATTGCCAGTAGGAACGAAGATTTTTTGCCATTTGTAATGGCCTTAACATCTAACTCGCCCCAATTTCCTAAATATATGTTTGGACTACAATTCCGCAATACCAGTCCATTAGTGTGGTGGAAGTCATTATGCCTTACCGGTTGGCCTACAGAAAAAAAAAACTTTCTAACATTTTGTGAAAAGCTACTAACAGCAATTGCATCGACAGCATCATTGGAAAGGTATTTTTCAACATTCGGCTTGGTACAATCAAAATTAAGAAATCGATTGGAACGTGACAAAACAGCCAAACTTGTTTTTTTGTTTAAATATTTAAACAGAGAGCATGCGTCTACAGCTAAAGCTTGCAACAGTAGTAATATAGAATTGATATGGGATGAGGCCACTGCGTCTGCACAGGAGATTCCTTCTGATTCGGATGACGAACTTTGATCAATTTTTTAACTAATTAACTATTTTGTTTTTATTTTTTTTTGTTGTTTTTGAGAATCTTGTTTACTTTTTTCAATAAATTTGGTAAATCACATTTTTAATGCGTTTAATTTATTGATCTTATTTAAGAAAGACCTTAAAAATTGTTTATAAAAATAAATATCAGGAAGTTGATATATATCGGATATATATCGATATATATCCGATATTTTGATATTTATATAAATATCATGATATTTTCGAACCCTGGATAGGAATAAGAAATGGAGAATGCTAGTAAAGATTTGCAGTAGACTTGATTATAAACACATAACTATGTAGCATTTCATATTCAATTGGGAAGTAAACATAATGCAATTGTAGCACAAAATAATGTTTAGTACAAAAAACAAGATTATACCTCAGTGTGTCCTCCCCACGCAGCTGCTCTAAGGGGAGTCCAACCATCTACGTCCGCTTGATCAGCATTAGCTCCTGCCTCCAAAATAACCTGAAAAATAAATGTTTTTGTATTATTATTAATAATTTTTTCAGTTTCATTGCTTTAAATAAACGTGTGAAAGTATCCGATACATCGTGTTAGAAACAATATTCCTTTTTATCATTGTCCTATGAAGTGGGAATTTAAACCTACCTTGACAACTTGTGCTTGTCCTAATCTAGCAGCGACGTGGAGGGCTGCTTGTCCATGCATATCGTGGATATCAAACAGTGGCTCCGGACTCTGCTCACTAGACGTACTAGCCAGAGACATCTATAGGGAGAAAAAATATATTGTAAAATATTGGATCACCAAAGGTTAGTTAGAGTTGTCACTAAAATATGTTATGTGTACTTTTAGGTTTAGGCAAATGAATTAAATCACAGCAGAAAGCTTTTCTTAAACAATAGTTTCTAAAAAAAATAAAAAATGCTACTCAAATATTAGAGTATTAAAAAACAAATAAGGTTCAACTCATTTCAAACGTATTCTTATTGCTATAATTAATTGATTTCAGATTAAACTGTCGTGTCGCGTCAACATTTGAATGTTCTAGTTCTTTTATAGGTTTGACATAGCAAAGGACAATATATACTTAAAAATGATTTTTGCTATGAAGTTCCAAAAGCAGTACCCACACTGATAGACGAATTCGAATATGTGTGCGTTATTTAAATTGCAAAGTGATGAAAGCCCAAGTAACAAACATGCTACCAAATCCTTTCGGTTTCGGTAATGATATGAAGCCTTTAAAGAAGTAATTTAAACACGCTCTTAAAGTATACATATTTTTAGTATATCACATTATCATAAAAGAAAAAAAAAAAAACAAAAAAGTCGCTGAGTAGTACCCGCCACTACCCTGATCCTTTATAGTAACTAAATGAGGAAATGGACAAGTTTAAAGAATTGGCTAACGAGAAACTTGCTACGAGTTACACAATCAAAAAAGTACCTGCTCTCAATCCACGGTTTAAAATAGTTGGGATGGCGGAATGTCTAAGTGAAGAAGATCTTTTGTGTTTATTGAAGACTCAGAATAAAAATGAATTTAGCCCTGAAAGCAACATTAAACTAGTGTCCATTGTCCCTTTAAAGAAAAATAATCGCCTGTTTCAAGCTGTGATTCAATCGGATCGTAACACATACAAACAAAGTTATGTCTCAAGGTAAGCTGTAAGTAGATTATGATTATTGCAGTGTTTTTGATGTCCTTGATTTACGGCGTTGTTTCAAATAATGTGATTTTCATATGTCAAAATACTGTTCCTCGGTGAATCATATTTGTCCGTTATGCGCAAAAATCCACAACTTAGAAGATTGTACCACTTCAGATAGATATTGTATCAACTGTCTTAATTATAATAAACGCGCCGAGCGTCAAGTTTCTGCCATTCATACTGCTTGCGATAAAGACTCGCTCTGGATAAACACAAATCTATACTTTCTCCACCATGGCAACTACCGATAATCAGAAACACTGATGATGTTCTAATTAAAAACATACCTGACGCCAATACGTTACTTTGTTACTATCAGAATTTAAGTGGAATTCGGACAAAGTTTAATGAAGTATGTCTTAATACATCAGTGGCATGTCCATTTGATATTTATACATTTTCTGAGACGTGGCTTAATGATGACTTCCATAATGGCGATCTACTAAATTTAAATTATTATGATGTTTTTCGTTCTGATAGAAAGTATGCTCTTACGAATAATATAAGGGGTGGAGGCGTCCTATTAGAAACTAAAAATTATCTTAACTCGTCTCTATTTGATCATAATTCTTCAGTTGGTTTATGCAAAGAAATACCTAATATTGATATAATTGCTATAAAATTAAAGCTAGTCTCTAAAAACGTGTATATTTTTAGTATATATGTTCCACCTTGTATTCATATTGACGAATATGATAAACTATTTGATGCCTTAGAGTCACTTTATACTATCTATAATGAAAACATTTTTATAGTAGGAGACTTCAACATTCTAGAATATGCATCAAGGGTATAGTTCTTCCATTATCAATTGCAGATCATAAAACCTCATTCGGAACATTTACCGACAATTTTGTTTGATCTGCCATAGGCGTAGATATCTACCTCATTTTATAAATTTATTTTATTAATACATATCATATGCAAGAAAGTATTCGTTAAAAGGAAATCGAATAATTATAAATTGGACGTTATTATACGCCCTTATTTAGATAGATGCACTTAATTGTAATCTTACTTGGACTTAAAAAAAAATCATTATAGCTCGTTAACTTGCTACAACTGAATATTAAATTATAAAAAGTAAAAAAGCGAGTAAAGTGTACCTGCCTGTAAGGGCGTTTGGTTTAAACAGGGTACCAGACGTGAACTGAACCCTTTTTGTACCCCATTCGTTCTTTTTCTGGAAAACGAAATTTCAAAGAACAAACCATAAAGGAAAATAAATTCTTTGCAAATAAAACAAAAGAAAAAAAAAACAATTCAATTCTAAAGTATCTTTATAAATAATCATGGCAGTCTGAATCCTCTGAACTAGAGTCATCATTTGGTTGAATTATGATGGGTTGTAAAGAGGGTAATACTACATACTCATCTTCTTCTTTGATAACATGTTCAACACAGTTTTTCCAAAGCTCTTGGCGGTCTGCTGCTAGAACTTTCTTTACGAGTTCTACAACTTCTTTACTCAGTTCTGGAGACTGATTACATTTTAAGTTTGCCAATATTAACTCTATAGGGTTAAATATGCAATAGTAAGGAGGTAGTCTGAGAAGAGTTTGCACAGCTTGTCAATATAATACATTTTTTCTAACTTTATACCTTTAATAACAGTAAGCAATTCTTTGTTTGTTGGTCCTTTTTTACTATCACTGGCAGGAATAGGAATATTTTTTTCAGACATAAAAGCTAAAATTTGAGCTTTTTACAGCTACTATTTGGTATTTTAAGGAGTTGCCGCGAGTGGTAGGATGCGTTGTTCATAACGATTACTGACTGTGGTGGAATGTAAGGTAAAAGCTGTTCATTAAACCGTTTTTCAAATAATTCTGCTGTCATATCTTCATGATAATCAGCTGCACAGTTTTTAATTTGTTTAGCAGATAATAATAAAGCATTAGGCACGAAACCGTCTTTGCTTCCAGCGTGTACTATTATAATGCGTCTCCCTTTAGAACATGGCCCATTCAAACAGCAATTTTTACTACTGCCAACCCAACCGAAATTTACTACATCGTGACTGTCAAACCATGTTTCATCTAGATAAATTATGTGTCTATTAGAACTTCTGTAGCCTTTTATCTGACGCAAATAATCTTGTCGCCATTGAACTATCATTGACGATTCGGTGATTGCCATCTGTTTATTCAATTTAAAACCACATGCTGACAAAACTTGACGCAATGTTTCCAAACTGGTATAAGTATATCCTGGAAAATCTGCCACCTTTTGCTGTATTACTTTTAATGTCGGAACCCTGTTCTCCTTATAATATAAACTATAAATTATCCTTCGTATAAAATCTTGGGTAGCTCTGTCAACTGATTTCAGTTTTTCTTTACATGTTTTTCGGTTTTATGAATAATCCACAGCAACCCCTTTCGTGACTACCGGATAAACGGAAAATTTATTTACTTTAGTTAATTTAGCAATTGTTATTATGAACGCATTATCAGACTGCTGAATATTTTCCTTTTTTAAACATTCGAATATATTTAAAATAACTTTTTGTGTTTGTATATCTAAATCCTTATCGTTAAAGCCATACCTGTCTTTAATCTCACTACACTGTGCAATTTCATTTTCTTCATTCGCCCATGGTCTAAAGAACGCCATATTTATATTTATTAAAAGAAATTTAAATTAAACCAACCACACATACAAAACACACCGCACGACAGTACTCCACTGATATCGCAGACTGTCTTCCAGAAATATTTTCGAACACCTGCCTTCCGAAAACCTTCGGCCACTAAAGTGCATTTAAGTTTACGATTCGATGTTTTCATTGGTAAACATCTGATGGTTCGTTTAATATTTACCGCTTTGTATAAGGGGAGTAAACATTATTTTTCGTTTCTTAATTTGGCATGAGTACCGTGCGTATATATTAAATATGGATGATTCCCCACATAACTGTGTTCTGTAGTTGATAATGGAAGGACTATACTACCTTAGGAGGTAGAATATTGCAGTCATTAATAAATTTTATAAACTATCTTAACCTATCGTAGTTTAAATCCGTGTGTCAACTTTTATAACAGAATCCTAGATCTTGTACTTTCTAATATTAGTTGCAGTGTCTCAAAATCTATCGATCCACTAGTTCTAGAAGAAAAGTACCATCCAGCTCTAACAATTGGGTGAAGTTTACAAAATTATTGTCCTTCAGCTTCTACTGCTGGGTACAACTTTAAAAAATGTAATTTACACTCGTTGTATCTTAACTTGGCCTTCGCCGATTGGTCAATACTTGAACATTGTGACAATGTAAATATAACTGTTGATTTATTCTATGGTTTATTAAATAACATGTTCCATAGAAATGTTCCATTCAAAAAAGTAACCAAACGTCATTATCCTGCTTGGTTCAATGGTTATATTATTGTCCTTATCCTTAAAAAGTCCAAGGTCTGAAACAAATATCGAAAGAGCCGTAACGAAGCTGATTATATCAATTTTAAAAATATCAGAGCACTAGTTAAAGAGCAAACAAAATTACATTACCAAAATTATATTAGATCAACCGAATCAGATATCGCTCTCGACCCTTCTAATTTTTGGTCTTTCATAAAATCCAAAAAAGGCGAATCATTAATTCCCCAAGATATGCATTTAGATGGTACGGACTATAATGTACCGCAAGAAGTCATCAATGGTTTTGCTGATTTCTTCTCAAAAAAATTTGTTTCCTCGACCATATACAGGGTGGACCGGATTTAATTTGCGTATACAGAGATCTCGTAAACCATAACATATACATTGTCAGTTAAATGGGGAAAAAGTTTCTTATTTTGACGGATAATACAATGGTCCATAGAAGTTCCAGATTTTCTTACTGGTTCCGGAGATATTCGATAAAATCCGAAAAACCTTATTTTCGTTTTTTAAGTCGTGTGTTGTTATTATAAAAGATACAAAAAAACTTATACAAAGTTTTTTTTTTATAAATCAAGTTCCCTATAATCTGCCATGTTAATATTTTTATTACGACGTTTCGTATTTGCAGGGCCACCTTCAACTTATTTTTTTAAATACGCACCTGGATTTTTA